AGAGAGAGAGAGAGAGAGAGAGAGAGAGGGTGGAGGGAGAGAACGTGAGATGAGAACAGTGGGAACTGACAAACTACATCTACGTACGCCTACACAGGCTCGACCCGCCTGCTCACAGCTCTGTACAGTATCTCGTATCTTGTGTATGCGACAATAGAAGGCATTTGGTTGCATAGATTGTACACGCATGCACGCATCCAAGCACGCAAATACATACACACTCACATGCACCCACGCACGCACGCATACACACACACACACACGCGCGCGCGCGCGCGCACACACACACACACGCGCACACACACACGCACACACACACACGCACGCACACACACATACACGCACACACACACACACACGCACGTACACACACACACACCCACACACCCACACACACGCGCGTACACACACACCCACACACACGCGTACACACGCACACACGTACACCCGCTAGGAGGGTAGTAAGCGTGCTAATCAATGGTTTCCACTCTCGGTCACAACCGACATAAAGCATAGAATTCATATCTCGCGCTCACAATCGCCGCTTCGCTGCAATTCCAGGATGTGCTTCGCAGTGTTAGAAGCAGCGTGCTCAAGCACCTACCCAGTCACGCCGCGGCGCCACCGGCGCACCCACACGACGACTCCTCGGACGCTTACCGTAACGATCCGGAAGATCTACTAGAACTCGGACTCAAGTACAATCCGATCTATCAGGATTCGGATCCGGACAGCGGGGGCGGCAGTGAGCAGGAGGCGGCGGGTGACGGAGAGAGCGTGCGCGGCAGTCTACAGAGCGTGCGCGCCAGTCTACAGCTGCTCGACGCGGCAGGCGACGGCAGCGCCAGCGACGGCGAGCGGCCGATTTACGCGGTGCCTTACGCTAATCTAGAAGGTAAGAACCAGTAATTAATTAATTAATTAATATAGTAATTAACTTACGCACCTGTAGCTCCCGTGAGTGCAGGCTGCAACTATGTGTATGTGTGGCTCCCACACACGCGCATGCGCACATAGAGCTAAACCAGCGATGGAGTCGCCACAATACCATCACTCTATACACCGCCGTGCCTGCGGGAAGGGAATGTAACATAGTGCAGAAAAGTACGGAAATCGGTTAAAAGTTAACTTACCGATGTGTGTGTGTGTGTGTGTTTGTGTGTGTGTGTGTGTGTGTGTGTGTGTGTGTGTGTGTGTGTGTGTGTCGTGTAGTGTGNACACTCATACAGGTTGTTCACACGCTCTATGAGGCCGTATCGGGGATTTTCAGGTCAGCGACACGCGGAAAGAGGATGTGCATATCCCGTCGCACACGCACAATACGCGCGACTCTCTCTGTACTGTGACCACGCACGCACCTATAACCACGCACCTATAACAACACAAGTATGCCCTATTTAATGCGACCGGCGGGAACGGGCGCGGGCGCGCGGGCATTCGAGCGACCGGCGGGCGGGCTGGCGGGCGGGCGCCAGAGCGAGGCACGCGACAACCAATTTTAGCGTCGATCAAAAACGCATTAAACGTTTTACGCGGGGAAGGAAGAATAGTGAGCGCTGCAGAGAGAGAGGGGGGAGAGGGAGAGGGATGGAGAGAGAGAGANACACACACACACTACACACTACACACACACACACACACACACACACACACTACACACACACTACGACACACACACACACACACACACACACACACACACACACACACACACACACACACACACACACACACACACACACTCATACAGGTTGTTCACACGCTCTATGAGGCCGTATCTGGGATTTTCAGGTCAGCGACACGCGGAAAGAGGATGTGCATATCCCGTCGCACACGCACAATACGCGCGACTCTCTCTGTACTGTGACCACGCACGCACCTGTAACAACGCACCTATAACAACACAAGTATGCCCTATTTAATGCGACCGGCGGGCGGGCATTCGAGCGACCGGCGGGCGGGCTGGCGGGCGGGCGCCAGAGCGAGGCACGCGACGACCAATTTTAGCGTCGATCAAAAACGCATTAAACGTTTTGCGCGGGGAAGGAAAAATAGTGAGCGCTGCAGAGAGAGAGGGGGAGGGAGAGAGGGGAAGGGAGAGACAGAAGGGAGAGAGAGAGAGAGAGAGAGAGAGAGAGAGAGAGAGAGAGAGAGGAGAGAGAGAGAGAGAGAGAGAGAGAGAGAGAGTAGAGTAGAGAGAG